AAGAGCAAATGCAAAAGATGTAGGACCCGCTTGTCCATACATTTTTTTTCTTTTTTTAAAAAACGTGTTTGCGTACGAAGTTTTACACGCTTTTGGAAATTTTTTGGAAAATGAATTTTTCAAAATCACTTTTTTAAAGTTTTTTCTAAAAAAAAATTCACACTCATAAAACTATAATATTTTCTAATTCTAATAGTACTATTTTTTAACTTAACTCCAAATATTAGTATTTTTTTTTAAAATACAATTTTTATGTCCAAACGCCTAAGTAGTGTCACACGTTAGAGTCCTCTTAATACGATTGCCATTTTATTTTTTATTTTTATACTTGGTACAGTTTAATTCAAGTGTACATAAGAAGAAAATGGATGTTTCATACTGCCAACAAAATTTCGCAAGCAGACATTCTTTTTTGGGTAATTTCTAGTATGCTTACTCAACTTTTATTTTGTTGAATCAAACATCACTTAAATTTACGCAGATACTCAAATAAAATAGTTACTCAATTTTGGGGGGAAAAATGATAAAATGGTCTCTTATGTTTGAAGGTAGGTTCAAAATAGTTTTTAAAGTATGTACTTAGCAGTTTTGATCCAAAAATATCATTCTTTTAAATCCGAACTAAGCCTTCGTAATTCGATTTTCTTTTTTCGACTTTAAGGTTTATTCATTTTTTATTTAAGATAAATTCGAAATTGTTCGAATTGTGTAACCATCAATTAGTGACATTGGTTAGCGGCCTAAAACGATTTGATTATAATTCAATTTGTGAGGATCATAAGTAAAAAGTTCATATTCTTCGGTCATTAATAAACAATTTGCTGGACAATACTCAACGCAATTACCACAAAATATACAAATTTAAAAATGAATAAGTTTGCCAAAAGTTAATACTTTAGGTCTCCACAAATATTTAACAATTTATATTCATTAAATTTGATAGAAACTAGAGAACATTTGGAAAGAAGACCTCCTCAACACTTGAATTGGTCAAGTGACCTCTCATTTTCTTTCTCAATTTCTTTGGGTTGAAAAACGGTTAAATGAGTGGGGTTAGGGTGGATGGGGCCTTTTTAACATTGTAAAAACTTGTGGATCACCTATAAAGTTTGAAAAACACAAATTTTCTCTCATTTTTCCGCCAAATTTCTCTCTAATCTCTCTACTCTCTCTTCTCTCTATCACTCAACCACATCGATCAAGGTGGTTTCCGGCGAGAAGGGACAAGAATCAAGCTTCGATTTTAGGTGTAATCGTCTCTATAGACCCATCAAGCACCGTATTAAAGCTCAGAACGCGTCAATTTTGGTAAATCCTAAATTCTTCTTTTTTCGTTTCTTACATTTTTTATTTTGGATTTTATAGAGTGATTCGTTCATGTGCATGTTCAAGATCGATTGGGTTGTGTATAACTATATCTTATATGGCTTGGGTAGTGATTTTGCTTCTTGGACTATCTTTGTGGTCTGTATTTTAGAATTTCGTCGGAACTGGTGACCTAATGTTTATTGAGAAACTTGTGGTCGATTGTTTTCTGGTCATAGATGTTTGTCGTAATTGGGGCTTATTTTTCTTATTCTGATCATAAGTTTGAAATTATTAAATGTGACATTGCATATTTGCATGTAGGTAACATAAGGAGGAAATCAATTACTAAGAAGCATATTCCTTTGACAAAGCCTTCACAGCCTTCAAAGCTTTCAAACAAGAAAGGAAATACAAAAAAAGAAGCATCGCCAAGTAAAGCAATTGTTGAGCCTTCAAAAATTACTGCTAGAAAATAAAATGTAGATACTTCTAAAGCTTCCCGTGGTAAAGGAAATGCTGAGATTTCTAAGCATGATAAGAGCAAAAAGAACATAGAGCCATCAAAGCCTATCGGTAAAAAAAACAAGATTAATGTCTAGATTAGTTGACGAGGACATACATGTTAGTAAAAAATCTGTTTCAAGGAGGTTAGCATTAGAGGGTATTGATAAGGAGGAGGAAGAAGGTGTGGACATAAATGCAACACAAACTCAAATGGAAGAACGGGTTTCTAAAAAAATAATTATCGCAGAAGAAAAGGACAGTGATGATGAAGCTTTAAGTGTGGAGAATGATGAAAATGGTAATGATGTTGCTCCGGAGGCTGATGAAGATGTTGAAGAAGAAAAAGTAGCAGAAGAAGAAGAAGATGATGATAATGATGATGATGATGATGATGATGAAGAAGAAGAAGAAGAAGAAGAAGAAGAAGAAGAAGAAGAAGAAGAAGAAGAAGAAGAAGAAGAAGAAGAAGAAGAAGAAGAAGATGATGATGATGATGATGATGATGAACAACTTGAAGATGGTGTAGATGGATTGGAAAGTGAAACACATGCAGCAGTTGAAGGTGACCAGGATGCTCTATTTGTAAGGGCCATCAACGCATCCAAATACAAATTCAAGACTTCTATAAGAAAACATAGACGTTTTCCGACCAAGATAAGTGTGAAGTTTAGGATCAATATATGCCATGAGTTCAAGGATAAACTTAGAACAATTAAATTGATGGAAAAGTTTAATAGTAGTTCTTTTGGACAGTTTGCAAAACTTTCAGAGCATTGGACACAGTTTAATGGACAACTTGTCAACTCCCTACTGATCCACCAAATTTATTGCGCGAAGAAGCACGGGTTTTGGTTTTTAGTTAGAGACAAGCTTGTTCACTTTGGATTGAAGGAGTTTGCTATGATGAATAGATTGAACTGTAGTGTCAAACCCAGTAAAGAAGCTATGAAGAAAGTGATGGATCATGGACAAGCATTCTACGACAAAGTTTGCTAGTCTAGCAGGAAATGGGTGGATGCAGAGCTGCTTTTGAAATAATTAAAGTCCAAGAGTGACACAGTCGAGAGGTTTAAGATTGCATTGGTGTGGTTTGTCCATTCAGTCTTATTTGCAAGGGATTACATAACGCAAGTCGATAAGAGATGGATTCGTATGGCTAACAATCTAGAAGTTTTCACGAAATATCCATAGGGCAAGGAGTATTTTGAGCTTACAATTGAGTACTTGAAGAAGTACATGTTGCCAATATACAAATCATATGTGAGAAAGAGGAAGAAAAATAATATCTCTGGTAAAAATTCCAAATCCGCTAGTTATGCCTTGTATGGCTTCCCATGGGCATTCATGGTAAGTATTAAAAAATCCTTCTCAAAATTTTTTTGCAGTTGAGTAGTATTATTTTATTTACTACAGGCATAAATTAATACATTTTGGTTCATGAAAAAATATAGGCATGGGCGTACGAAGCAATTTCGCTATTTGGTTGTAATGCCAAAAAATTAAAGGTCGAACCGATGTCGCCGCCAAGAATGTTGAGATGGCACAGAAAGAAAGTGACAACTGACCCTTGATTGAGACCCCTTTAAGCAGAAAGTTGATGACCCTAGTGTCGTAAGATAGGGAGTTCAATAACACTCCACCAGTAGATTAGTATCAGCCAAAGTATGAGATTATCATAGAACTCGTGTCTATTGTTTTGTATTACTTTTCTATTGACTTCTATCTATGCTATATTTTAGGAGTTGCACCATTACCTTATTCTTATCCTACATGAGATAGATATGGACCATATGTAGAATTTGGTATCAAACGGCGATGAGGTAATGGATCCTATAATCGACCAGTTAGCGGTTAATTTAGAATGGGTGTCTGTCATTAAAAAGGCACCTGGTGCAGCGATCTTAAAGACCAATGATGAAGCTGACATTGCTGATGATGGCCCTTTGGATGGGAGTATTCCTATTTTTAACATTAGTTGGTGGTTTTTCTGATATTGGTAGTGGAGGACCATGCAAGGTGTGCAATGCTCAGCCAAGTGATACAAACATGCGCAAAGAGTTGAAGGCTGTGAAGGAGAATCTGCAACATGCGTGTGTTACGGCAAATGTTCCTCTCTTACCTCACTCTGTCTTCTTGGATCTCTCAGATGAGCCTATCCAGCGATTCTCTGATGAAAATGGCATCCATGTTTGTCCTTGACCTCAGGGGCATTTCTCTGTTAAGTGATTGAGATATTTGGAAGAATGATAAATAAATATTTCCATCAGATCTAGTGTATTTATAGGCAGAATTTGACATTAAATGGTGCCGCTCCATATGACTTCTCGTAAATGACATGACTGTTGAGAGTTTTGAGAAACTAATTGTTTCTTTGAATCCGCATATTCGATGTATTTCAATTAATTAGACAAGTCCTTTTCATGTTAGCTGTCGATGCTTATTAACATTAGACATTAAGTTAACTACCTAAACTAGTGGTTGTCAATAGACCATCTAAACCGGCACAACAAATCTTGATTAAATTGAAAATATCTATGGGGGTTGACAATAAAACATTGGTTGATTACAGGTGGTTGATTCTAAAATAGTAGTCTTCAACAGAAAGTCACATGACTCCTTCTTAAAATAAGGAGGTTGATTATAGATCATAGGTCTACAATGGACAATGTGAGTGGTTGACCATAAAATAATAGTCTATAAGATAACTTGGTCACATGAATCCTTCTTAAAATAAGAGGAGGGTTGACTCTAGATCATAGGTCTGCAATAGAAAATATTGGTGATTGACCTAAAACATTAGTCTATGATGTACAATGCAACAGTTGATAGTAGAAATAACAAGTCTAGTAAAAATAACAAGTGATTACAAACAACAAGTTTAGACTATTAAAAGAGTTAATTATCTTTATTACAACACCAATAGCTAAAAGATCAAGAATGTTGCAACAATACTTTACAAGTCGTTTTTCTGTGGTCAAGTTCTTTGCAAATGGAACATTTATTTTTGTCGTTT